AAATAAGTCAATCAGAGAAAGACAAGTATCATATGATCTCACTGATATGAGGAATTTGAGAAACAAGACAGAGGATCATAGGGGAAGGGAGGGAAGAATGAAACAAGATGAAACCAGAGAGGGAGACAAACCATAAGGGACTCTTCATCTCAGGAAACAAACTGAGGGTTGCTGGAGTGGAGGGGCGTGGGAGAGAGGGGGTGGCTGGGTGATGGACATTGGGGAGGGTATGTGCTATGGTGAACGCTGTGAATTGTGTAAGACTGACGAATCACAGACCTATACCCCTGAAACAAATAATACGTTATATGTTAATAAAAAAAGAGAAAGTATTGATGCAAATGACTGTCTACATATAAAATGGCTGTGAGTGACAAAGATATTAATGGAATTTGTTGGGAAGATTGAGATTTCACTGCACACATCTACACACAACTACAAAGCCATTTACTACTATAAAAGGCATGGTACGATGTTTTTTCCCTCACTGTGAACATGTGCAGGCTTTTCCAGTGGGGCTGGCCTGGAACAGATCCTTCTTTGCGCGCTCTGGTGGTCTTGCCCCACTCAGACGAGTTTGTCCTGGGATGGTGCTTTGATGGTCAGCTCCGATATGACCGAATCTCAGATTGCGTTTTCCATTTTTTCATCTGGGAAACACAGGCACCCTTGAACCATCATAAGCCTTTAGATATATTTAGGCTTTGAAGTGTGAGTGACATACAACATGAAGTGAAGGATTCTAATGCTTGCTTTAGGCTATAAAGAAAGCATGGAAATATGGGGTTCTTCTCATTGGGATTCATGATTACTGCCTGAGAAGTGGCAGGTATTTATTTATTTATTTATTTATTATTTATTTATTTTTATTTATTCATTTAAAAGATTTTATTTACTTATTTGAGAGAGAGAGAGAGTGCATGTGTGAACATAAATGGCGGTGGGGTGGGGGGAGGGAGAAAGGAAGTCTCCCTGCTGAGTAGGGAACCCAATGAGGGGCTTGATCCCAAGACCCTAAGATCATGACCTGAGCTGAAGGCAGATGCTTCACCAACTGAGCCACCCAGGTGCCCCAGAAGTGACAGGTATTTAAATACCTTATAGGGTATGACCAGTAAATTGCTCTCTATTGAATGATAAATATTAGAACTCAAAATTAAATGTATACAACAAATAACTGAATTCTAGTGAAATATGAATTAAAGTATTGCTTGAAAGAAATTACCAAAATATTTTAAAATGCCAACAGAATTAGGAAGGAAATAATATATTTAGGTTAATGCAAATTGATCTAGTGCTCGTAAGAAGCAATATGTTTTTAAGAACTACAAAAATCTTCATATGCTTTGACCAAGCAAAGACATGTGAAGTTCATTCATTGAAGTAACCAAAAGAAGCCTCTTGTATGAAAGTGTTCAATTTAACGTTATTGTTAATATAGGAATCTGTGAACAACTATTCCTGATGGGAGGGGGGATGGTTAAACAAAAGATGGTCCACTAATTGAATAGAACTTTGGGTAACTATTATAATAATATTGTATGGACACTAGCAATAGGAGGATGTAAAAATGTGTGACCCTGGGACTTTGTAATGAAAGCAGATTACAAAAGTACATGTTCCCTGTGATTACTATGCACATAGGTATATTTATTCATTTATTCTAGAAGTGTTCTAGAAATGTCTACTGATTATATAGCAGATACTGGTGCTAGGTGCTGGAGACACAAGGTGAAAATGTGTGTTTCCTGCTCTCATTAAGGGTCAGTCCAGCTGAAGATAGTCATGCAAACAAATGGAAAAGTGTAGTTATTCACAAAATGCCACTGGAGTGCAGGAGGAGCCTTCAAGTTGGCTGAAGACATAGGGAAAAGCTTCATAAAGGAGCTAAGATTTTTATATGGACAAAATTTGAAATGCAATGTAGAGAAAAATAATCAGTTGTATAAGGGTGGAGGTATTTGAAGTAACTTAAAATTTTTAAAAAGTATCTTTATTGAGATTTAATTCACATATTATAAAACTCACCCATTTAAAGTGTACAATTCAATATTTTCTTGGTGTGTTCATGGAGTTCTGCAAACATCACCACAATCTAAGCTTAGAACATTCTCCTCATCCCAAAGAAATGTATTTTCACTCTTTCAAATTTCTTCCAACATTAAATGTTTTTATAATAATAGAAAATCTAAGCATAAAGACAGAAACTTTTGATCTCTGCCATTGTGGGAAAGTTTTATGTTGCGTGCAAAACAAACCACAAGTACATCATCATGTCTTTATTTTTTCATTTTATTAGTGACAAGGTAAATAGGTATGTGACAATCTTCACAGATATCTACACATGTATTTAAATAAAAGAAGAAAAAGAAAGGAGTTGAGTTGAAAGCGTGGGGTTTCAGTGGCGACTAGTCCATGCTGTTTGTTTACTGAATAAAAACCTCCAAGTGTATGATTTTCCCATTTGATTTGCCCATTTTCCCCACGTCTTCAAAACCAGCTGCACGAATTTTAACAGGGATATCTAAAATATACATAGACTCCAACAGAGGCATGGTACAACATGAATTATGAAAGCATTTGACGATGCTATATGGGAAGCAGATACTCTCAGTGCATTGATAGAGAGTGTTCCTCAAGCAGAAGGGATGCTCAGGAATTGATGACTGGTGGGTTCACCTGACCTCAGGTGTCCCCCTTCCTCCATTTGCTTCCATATCTGAGATGGGAGAGGGGCCACGGTGTGCATGATGATCCCCTGTCAAGTGCCTGTAGGTAGCAGTGCCCATCCCCCTAGAGAGGACCACTCTTGGCTACGACTGTGAGGAAGCCCCCAGACCTTGATCCTTCTGGGTCCCAGTCTTGTTCCTGTCATCTCTACTTTCCTCCAGCTGTCTGTGTGACCCGGTTCATGGGGTTCTACATTTATGTAGCCCTAGAAGTTCTGAGTTCCTTCACAAATGTTAGCTTAAAAGGCAATGGGTATGTTTTCTCAGGGACCTTTTTTGACCCCAAATCCTGAGGAGCTAATCCCTATTGGCCCAAGTCAGGCACAATGACAAGAGTTAGGGCATTACCTGGGGGCAGAGAAACCTGTCAGGCACTCTTCCAATCATATACAGACAACCACCTTCCTGTAAAACCAATTCTACCTAGACGACTAACATGGAAGACCCGCAGAGGCTGGTGTGGGACCCTCAAACTCTCTGAGGCACCTGCAGTTCTCACCCACAGTCAGCCATACATACTGGAGCCAGACATCAGTCCTTACACACTTGAAACTGCTACCATGACAGGATTTAATTCACAAGTGGGAAAAATATGAACTGCATCAGAGTATTCTTCCATGTGCCGTGCATTTGGTTTCCAATGAAGCTCTGCAGCTGTAGCCAAATGGCTTGCCTCCAGATCAAGGCATGACAGAAAATTTAGTGTCTGTGAGTTTGGCTCATCTTTCAAATAAAGTGTGATTGTTGACATCGGGAATACAAATTTTCCAACTGCTTTGTAAACTGAAGGATTTTGTCCGCTTGCTCTATTATATGTAATATTCAGCATATTAATTACAAATATAACTAATGCCAGTGTAAACATGCTTTAGATACATAGGTCTGTAAAATATTGCACATAAATATAAAATTTGTTCAGGATTTCTTCATAGTAATTTTTCATTATCATAAAAAGGATACAAAATTGTGCAGATTATATGAATTTGGCTGGTCAGGTTTACTTCAAAAATGATGACATTACACACGGTTATGGATAATTTACAAGAGTCTTAAACATCAACTTTTTGTGATGGTTAAATTTTAGATGACAGGAGAATAGCTTGAATAAAGATTATTTTCCAAACGTATGTACTATAAAGATTAGCAGTAAAAATGAGTAGTAAAGTTAGAATAGACAATGGTAAATAAAATTCTTAGGAATCCCTTTTCTGGGTTCATCTCACATCTGCATAACTTTATATTTCTTTCCCATGTATGCTTAACACATCTTCCCTGTGTATATAAATTTGAGGTACAGTAGAGAAAATAGGTATTTAATCCCAAGCTAAATATTGGCGTTGCTTCTTATAGATATTAAAAATAATGCTCGCCCATATTGTAAAATTCCTTTTTTGTTAATGGACTCTAGAAATTTTACCATTACTTTTAACCACCAGACAGGTTCCGGAGTACCTTGAAATTTGTGTATTTCTAGCTAATTAAGTCAATGGGAAGATTTTTGTTTCTCTAAAAGGAAGTATAAATACATCTTTTTGCAAAGCTAAATTAAGCAGATGTGAGTCCCCGGAAAATGTGAATAAAAGTGATTTCAGGTAGCAGGTGGCATGGTATTAAGTGAAACTGTCTGCTTTTCCTTAACACTGTCTAAATCCTGAAGAAGCTCTGTTAATTTATCTGCACAAGATGGTTATCTTAGAAGGAAATTTAGTGAGTGATTTCAAAAACCAGCTAACCAAATTGTAATGTCCAAATATTCTAGATGACCAGAACATCTGCCTAGAGCCATGGAGAATAAATAAATAAATTTTTATCCTCAGTTACAAGATCATCTTTGTCGTTTCAAAAGTACTTTCACAGTACTAACAACATAACGCTTGTCTCCCTGAGCCATAACTTCATTAGAAACATTTCTTTTCCATAGGGAGGTGTCGAATATTCCGTTGGATGCAGTAGCGTTGGAAGGTTCGGTCCTAGTTCACCTTCCGAAGTCGATTGTGATTCAGACAGTTCATCTCTGCAACTTGAGTTGGATTTACCTGGAAAGCAACTTGAGTTCCCGTGCCCATTTCAGAGCGTCTGCCAAAGACAGAACGACTAAAGCAAAAGACGTCTTCCATGATTGCTAATGGTTTCCACGGTGTTGAGGATGGACGTTACGTCACCCAGAAGGATCTCTGGGCTCTGTGGCAGCTTCTCCAAAGTGCAGCATAGATGAAGTGATATTTCTGGGGCCCTTCCATTTCCTAGGTCACTGGCAAGTACAGGGAAACCTTTACTGAACCTTTGTGTTCCTTCTTTTCCTTGAACAGGACCAGTGTTTGTGTGTTTTGAGCTTGGGTTTTTTACTTCTCACGCCTCCGTGGCTTTCTCATCTGTCAATTGCTCCCTGTCATTCATATCATCTTGGGGGGGTCTCGCTCTGTCAAAGAATCCACACTATGAACAAGAGAAAAGAGGGCTATAAAATCAAGTTGTTCTGGGAACTGGGTGAAACTCCTCATTCTAAGGATTTTCACTTTGTGTTTTCTAAGGAAATCGGAGCTCTGTGGATATTATCTGTCGGATTCTCCAAATTAGGAGGGGAAAGCGGAGTCTTCTTTACCTTCAGAGAGGAATTTGTTGCATAGGGCAGAGGGTTTGGGTCCTTCCTCCTGCCATGTCGTGGTAGTGGGGGAATGTCCCTGTTTTGTATAATCCACTTACGGACCTGGCATTTTTTCCCCTGAGATTATAGCCACAAGGCCCAAAGACTTCCTCTCTGCTTTTCTGCATGCTTTCTGGAGCAGCAGAAGTACCAGCTGCTGAAGTGTACTGTAGGCTACCTCGCGATGGAATTTAGGAAAAAGAGAGGAGATGCTTGCATATCGCTCTTACTTGTGGAGCACATAGCATATAGAGGAAAAGTAGATTGGCCATTTCTTTCAATCCCAGGATATTTTAGTGATTTTCCAAAGACCAACCAGCAACTTGAGGAAGAAGTGATTCTAGAATCTTCATCCTCCTGAATTTCCATTAGTATTTGATCTGGAAACCTGGAACCTTAATTCTTATTGATTGTTTCTTACACTGGAAGCCAAATTCACTGGGTTTCGTTGATAACTATTGAGTTGTCTTTTTTCTTTTTTTTTTTTTGCAGGACTAGTACCATATTCTGTCAATTGCCATATGTTGTTGTACCATTTATGGAAACAAAGATAGTATAAATAACAGAATAATATAAGAGTCTATTTCTAAAGGTAAACTATGCAGTAGCCTCTGTAGACTCAGGAAGGCACAAAACAGCTTATGATCATTATCATAAGGAAAGATATATTTAACTCACATGGCAAGGTTTTCTCAGTTTGTTAAGCAAGCCACATATTGTTTTAAAATAAAAATACACTATGATTTTGGGGAACCACAACAATACTGGTTAACTAAGATGTGACTGGATTGATTACTCTTATAGTCATGTAACTGTGACACTTCCTATTTTGGAGTGGAAAGCTCTGTGAAACTTGGCAGTCGTGTTGGTTTTGGGGCTAGAAATTAATGCCTATTGTAGATTTTTACAATAAACTTCAGTAAAACACATTAAATCTTCCTAATGGAGATGGACTAATTGGCAAGATAAAAAAAAAGTTCAAGAATATAACATGCACGATCTATTTGGCCTGATAGTCC